CAGCAGACCACCTTCTCACATACGACCATGGCTGTATATATTTCTGGTCGCTGCCTTTATCGCAGTGGCCAATGCTATGCCCCAAAGACGCATTGCGGAGTTGCGTCAAGAATCAGTGGATATGTTCTACCATGGATTCGACAATTACATGAACATTGCATTTCCAGAGGACGAGGTACGCTCTTTCCTCATTGAGAGTTTCTACAGTCACTAATATTCTGCATAGCTTAGACCAGTCTCCTGCAAACCCTTGACGCGAAGCAATAACCCGAGAGACATAGACCTCAACGATGCTCTTGGCAACTACTCGCTCACACTCATTGACAGCCTGTCGACACTGGCCATCCTAGCTTCGGCGCCCCCGGATAATGAACGAACTGGTCTCAATGCGCTCCACGACTTTCAAGATGGCATCGCCTCGCTCATTATCCAGTATGGCGACGGCACAGAAGGGTCGTCGGGGCAGGGTCTCAAGGCGCGAGGCTTCGATTTAGACAGCAAGGTCCAGGTCTTCGAGACAGTGATTCGCGGTGTAGGAGGACTTCTTAGCGCTCACCTTTTCGCAATCGGTGAGCTGCCTATAAGAAACTACAAGCCGCGAAGAGCTTCGAGTTGGCCTTGGAAGGCAGACCTGCCGGGCGAAGAAACCCCAATACTGTGGTCAAATGGATTCAAATACGATGGGCAGTTACTCCGCCTTGCCTTGGACTTGGCGCAACGAATGCTCCCGGCTTTTTATACCAATACTGGAATGCCGTATCCCAGGGTCAACTTGCGACATGGCATACCATTTTATCATAGGTCCCCATTGCACAAGGGCTCCGGGGCACAGGATGGTTCCAATGAGGTCACCGAAACGTGCAGCGCTGGCGCAGGAAGCTTGGTCCTCGAGTTTACTGTGCTCAGCAGGTTAACTGGCGACCCTCGATTTGAACAACTTGCTAAGCGGGCGTTTTGGGCTGTGTGGTCTCATCGGAGTCAGCTCAGCCTTCTCGGTGCAGGCATTGACGCCGAAGACGGAAAGTGGATAGGACCATACGCTGGTATTGGTGCGGGCACCGATAGCTTCTTCGAATATGCATTTAAGACTCACATTCTCACGTCAGGCCTTGCGCCGCCAAACACAACGGTTCCAGCTGGCAAGAAGCCGGATACTTGGCTCGACCCGAATACACTTTATAAGCCCCTAACTTCTGAGGAGAATTCCTCGGACAGTTTTTTGGATGCTTGGAAAGAGGCGCATAGCGCTATTAAGAGGCATTTATACAGCAGTAGCCACCACCCTCACTATGTTGTTGCACACCTTGCTACTGGGTCACCACAGACTTATTGGATAGATAGTCTTGGTGCCTATTACCCAGGGCTGTTGGCCATAGCTGGTGAGATGGACGAAGCCATTGAAACCCATCTACTTTATACGGCATTGTGGACCAGATACTCCGCGCTACCGGAAAGATGGTCAGTAAGGGACGGAACCATTGAGGGTGGGCTAGGTTGGTGGCCTGGTCGCCCGGAATTCATAGAGTCGAATTACCATATATTTCGTGCAACCAAAGATCCTTGGTACCTTCACGTTGGAGAGATGGTCTTGAAAGATATACAGCGACGCTGCTGGGCAGAGTGCGGGTGGTCTGGCTTGCAAGATGTTCGAACCGGTAAAATGAGTGATAGGATGGAAAGCTTCTTTCTGGGAGAGACAGCGAAATATCTGTACCTCCTCTTTGATCCAGATCATCCTTTGAATTCTCTCGACGCTCCTTACGTCTTTACCACAGAGGGTCATCCTTTAATCATTCCACGCAAATCAAGTCAGCAAAACAGCACACCTAAAATGCCTAGGAGCTCGTCGTTAGAGTCTTATACCTCGCTCAAGAATGTCGACACTTGTCCTGTTCCGGCAGCAATGCTACCACTTACGGGGTCGCCCACCGCCGCACGACCAGATATCTTCCATGCTGCGAGCTTAGTCGGGCTTCACCGTTCCCCAAATTACAATGCCATGCATGAAATGGCTTTGGACACTACAAAGTCGGTGGAGAATCAATGGTCACAGCCAGCGAATCATTCAATATACCCCTGGACTCTCCCTCAAAATCTCGTGCCGCCCAACGCGGTCTGCGCACGCTTACCTATTCGAGACACGTTTTGGATAGAATTCCCATCTAGCTCACAACTTGCAAGCCAGGGGTTCAATATAGCTGTGGGTTCTCAGCCCGTTGTCAGAGTGAACAACGAGGGCGTTCTCATCCAGAACCTTGCTGGCCTTACGGTGGCGATGATCGAGGAAGAAAATTCAGCACAATTCATCTACGATGAAGGACCCGTTTCCAAGTCCTGGCGGATCCTGCATATCGGCACCACGCCACTAGGTCGAGATGAGAAGGTCTTCATCTCTCGAGAAACGATAGGACCCATCGTCGATCCGTCATTTACCCGCGTCCGTGACCCTCTCACCGTCGACCTCGTCATCCAGGTCAAGAACCCTCAAGTCAACAAAACAGACGGAATACCATCATCAGGCCTTTCCACCAGCGGCAAGATCGAGGAAAGTCTACACGCCGAGCCAGCACCAGAGTCCCTGCACCTCGAGGCGCTAGCAGACTTACCATCAGACTACCGCACCATGTTCTCCTCCCTCCTGCAACAAGTCACATCCGCTCTACGCGATCCCGTCGCCACGCTCCTACCCCAGCCTAATCAGCAACCAAAATATCAACTCCTCTCCCTCCGCGGACAGTGTGCGGTTGGCACCGGCGCGGCACCAATTCCCGCCGCGCCTGAAGCGCCTGACTCCAACGCCGTAACTAACGACCCCCTATCCTGGACGAGCATTTACTTTGCCTCGCACAACTGCGACGGCAAACTGCCAGACCGCGTGGTCCGCGCGTACAACGTGATCGTGATGCGGCGCGGTAGGTGCAGCTTCAGCGAGAAGCTGGCTAACGTGCCGGCCTTCCACCCTACCGCCGCAGGGCTACAGATGGTGGTTATGGTGAGCGATGGTGATGATGATGAGCTCGTCAGGCCGCTGCTAGAGGTGGCGCAGAAGACGCCGGCGGGGATGAGGCGCGCGCACGAGGTGCCAATGGTGATGGTTGGAGGAGGGGAGGCGACGTGGGGGGCGCTGAGGAGGGCGAAGAGTTTGGGAATCAGGAGGAGATATTGGGTTGAGAGTGCGAAGGGGCTACGAGTAAGGAACTTGATTGTAGTTTAGATGAGGGATGATGCATGTAAATGTCACGGCAGCAAACTATGATATTGTAGAAGAAGCGGGGTTTGTAGATACAACAGGAATAACGAAACCGATGGTCGGCGTTAGGCGGCGATAGTGTCGTATAACGTATATATGGGATGGCGCAAATGCCGATCTCCGACTTTTGATCGTAAATGCTTCCCCTCTGTTCCATGATCTTGGCATAGCAAGGCGGGGCGCGGACCGCGGGGTTGAAGCTATACCTATGGCGAATGGTGCTACTTCGTACAACAGCGACGGAGAATACGTATTTTTGATTTCAAATCGCGGCATCTGCACATCGCCATCCACGCTGATTTATTGTCGGCATCTCTTAAATTATTGGGCCGTCTTATGGCTTAATAGTTACCTTTTTTGTGCAATGGCGATAGATAAACGCCCGCTTAAAGACAAAGGCGGTGGTGCATAAGTTATGACAAAGCAGGGAGAGCTAATGACGTGTGGTGGCGGTTTGATTAATCATTAATGTTACGGAACTGCTTGAGAGCTCACAAAGGAAAGAGCTATTGATGTATCGTGGCGTCGATTGAGAAGGTATATATAATGCGCCCTTTCCTCGCTGCTTCTTCTCGTTCAACTTTCTTCAACTTCACTCTGTGCACATATACCCCAACGACTTGTACGCTTCTCACCTCCACTTCAACCTCAGCTTCGGCACTTCACTTCTAAGAAAGTATCTACACATAAACAAGCTCATCCTACCCGACACCCTTCAAGAAAAGGAATAATGTCTCAATCAATCTACATCGATGAGACGCCTGATGATGTCAAGAATGCAAAGGTAGAGAGAGCTTCACTGTGTGTTTTCAGCTCTCAATTCCTGTGATTATGTTATGAGACTGACAGTAACTCGCGGAATAGGGCCTCCACTTGCTGACCCAAAGCACCCCCAACGGCCAGAAGGTCCAAATCTTGCTCGAGGAGCTCAAGAATAAATATGGTCTCCAATTCACCACTACTGTGATGTTTGTTACTCCTCTCCCGTTTTCACAATTTCACGAACAACAAACTAACATCGCCGCAGCGACATCTCCACCAACGAGCAGAAGAAGGAGTGGTTCCTCCGCCTCAACCCCAACGGCCGCATCCCCGTCCTCGTCGACAACAACCAATCCCCCCCCTTCCCCGTGTTCGAGACCTCAGCGATCCTGCTCTACCTCGTACGCAACTACGACCCGGACTACCACTTCCGCTTCAAGGACGAGCTCCAGACGAGCCAGGCCGACCAATGGCTCATTTTCTGGCACGGCAGCGGAGCTCCGTACCAAGGCAATACCAACTTCTTCCGCAGACAGGCCGAGCAGATTCCGTGAGTAGACCCCCGCAGTCTCCACACTCTTTCCCCGCACCATCCCACTAACACCTGCTAGTTTCGCAATTAACCGTTTCCGCAACGAGACACTACGCGTTTATGAGGTGCTTGAGATTCAATTGTCGGGCAGATATACTGGTGTCGAGCGCGACTACCTCGCTGGTAACGGAAAGGGCAAATACAGTGTTGCTGAGCTTGGCACTTGGCCATGGGTGAAGGGGTGGAAGAACACCGGGTTCACTGAGGAAGAGCTCGCAAAGTTCCCGCACTTGCTCCGCTGGATCGATAGGGTTGCCGCGAGGGAGGCTGTCCAGCGCGGAATCGGCGAGGCGTATCAGAAGAAGTAAAGGATACGAGTAATAGGGCTTAAGTGCTCTGGGGAAACGTGACACTATTGCATGAGCTTAAGGCGTAAAATATGATATTATTTGAATTACACGACCGTAGTCTGTCCTCTTGTGGTGATACATCCTCCTTATATAGTACTTATACACCCCGTCTTCCATGGCGTATACTACTCCGCAGCCGCCATCGGGTATCCCAAAATCGCAACAACATAACCAATCCGTCTCCTCGACGGCCGCCAGAAGAATCGAAAGCACAAACGCGCCTAGTAAACACATATCCCAATCCCCGTTCCAAATACCTATTCGTCAAAATCCGGCATCTCGTTCTCCTCATAAACCTCCGACCCTTCCTCATCCCTCTCCTCACTCACACTCTCGCTCTCACTGCTACTCCCATTCCCATCCACGAACCCGACCTTCTTCTCCCTCCCCACCTTCACCGGCTTCTCCTCAATCACATCACCCCCCCACGCCCAGCACTCCTGCACCACCTCTCCACAGCGCAAACATACCCATCCCTCCCCCGCCTCGCCCTCCAACCGGCCCGCGAGGCACACAAAGCAGTACACGCACCCGCATGCCCCGCAGTACGGATTCGTTACATCCGTCATCCCGCCCGCCACCCCCCCCTGCCCCGCGGCGCTCGCAGCAACAATCTCAGCTTCCGACTTCGCTTTATTCTGGTCCTCGTAGCAGATCGCGCAAGTCCGTTCGGGGAGGTGCGCTAGCGGGCCCTGTTTGACTTCTGCAGGCCCGTCGGAGGGGGAGGAGAGAGAGGATACGCGGCGCCAAGTGCGGGAGAGCCAGCGCCGCCAGCGCGCGATGCCGAGGAGTGGGAGGAGGAAGAGGAGAAACTCGGTAAAGGCGTGCCAGACGAGTTGGCGATTGAGGTACTCGAATGAGATGTCCCGCGCGAGCTGGTTCGTGCGCGGTGCTAGGCGCAGGCGGAGCGCGCGGTCGAGGAGGGTGCGGTAGTGGCCGTTGAGGAGAAAGGCGCTGAAGGATGCGAGGGAGGCGAGGGAGTAGACGGTTGTGAGGCGCGAGGTGATGGTGTTGAGGCGCGAGGAGAGAGAGAAGGAGGGCGAGGAGAGGTAGCGCTCCCATCGTATCCAGGCGTAGGGGCCGAAGACGGTAAGGAGGCCGTAGAGCGCTTTTTGGGAGCGAGAGGGGGGGAGGGGGACCAAGCCGGTGTGTCGCGCGTCGGTGAAGCGGAGGTTTTGGAGGGCGGCGCCGTAGGTCGCGTCTGGGGGGGGGGTTAGTAGCGGATCGCATTTTGTGAGTAGGGGGGAGGTGCCGTACCATGATCCCAGACGGAGACTTTGAAGAGCACGCCGCGCAGTGCGAGCCCAACTTCTTCGCCCCATTCTTCTTGTATGTCTCCGAAGTATTTTAGCCCTGAGGTGATCTGGCCGCGGAGTAGGGAGAGGAGCTCTTCGTCTAGAAGCTCCGCATCAGCCTGTCCGACGCGGAAGGCAGGGCTGGTGCCAGAGCGGCCGCGGATGGTATCCCATGCTGTGATACCGGCAGCGCCGAGACGGTTGAGGGAGGGCGGGAGATGAGAAAGGTGCTTGTGGAGGGGTGAGGAGGCGGGGGCGTGTAGTTGAGAAGCAACGGACGCGGCATGCGCTGCCTGACGGGCGGCGATGCGTTGTTGCGCGGCTTGGAAGTCGGCGGAGGACATTATGGCCGCATGGTATGAGGCCGTGTGCTGATTCTTGAGAATCCGGCGAGGGGATATCGGGGTTTTGCTAAAGCTGCTACCGGCCCGTCCTTGTTTGTGGAGTGAAGCTTTTTGGTGTGAGCCGAGGTCGTTGGGGCCTCGTTCTGATGGCAGGCACGGAACGGATTAACGTTTATCGCGAGGCTGTTGATTGTGGATGGTGGGGAACATAATTTGGAGGGTCCAGAAGCTTAATTCCTGGCAGGAACCGTCACGGATTTGAGCGCAGAGAGAAGCACTGTGACTTAACAAGAAGGATAACATATTGCTTCATAGCGCCATCCTCATTTCTCTATTTATCCATCCTTGTTTCCTCCATTTCTTCTGCTGTTACGTCAGCCATGGAGGGAGCTATCGAGCTTCCTGGGGAGGCTGCCCCGCTAACCCCACAGGAGGTGCTCATGGCCTTGAAGTCAGCCAGTTCTCACCAGCAGAACCTGATAAGATCGGGGACACAACAAATGCAGACATGGGAGGGCCAGCCAGGTTATTACTCTTTGTTACAGGTAAGCACACCACCACATGAAACTTACCAACAACCTCGTACCATACTGTAGACGCAGCGGCTAATCATACCTCAGTCAGCATTCTTGGACACTTCACTGCCCACAGATATACGATACTTGGCCGTCATACAACTTAAAAATGGAATGGACAAGTATTGGAGGAAGGGCGTAGCGAAATGCATACAGAAGGCCGAAAAGGAGGAGATGAGATCGAAACTGCTGGAGGGCGGTATGGCAGAGGCAAACGTGCAGCTCGCCTTGCAGAATGCCCTTGTGATATCCAAGATTGCGCGGATCGAGTATCCCAATGACTGGCCGGACGTCCTCACATCTTTGATAGCACTGATGCGGGTTGCAAGCGAATCGGACCAGCTTCGTTTACAGAGGGGCTTGTTGATTCTTCTCCAGGTCGTGAAGGAGTTGGCTTCCGCTCGTTTAAGGAAGTCGCAGACGGCCCTGCAGTCGGTTACGCCGGAGATTGTTTTCTTTCTAAGCAATATTTACACGCAGAAAGTTAACCAGTGGTATGGTTTTCTCACCGCCGGCGGAGACGACGAAGGTGGTGCCATGGATGCGATGGACAGCAGCCTTCTCGCGCTGAAGATTCTTCGGCGCCTGTTGATAGCTGGTTACAAATATCCCGCCCATGATAAAGATGTCCAAGAGTTATGGGGTCACTCGCAACTACAGTTAGGACAATTATTCGGGATGATTTCCCACGAGCCACCGTTGATCTCATCTCCTGCCAAGGACCTGGTGGAAAAGCACTTACTTCAGTTGTCTAAGTTGCACCTTGAAATGGCGAAAACCCACGCATCTTCATTTGCCGCCCTTCCAAATTCAGTCGAGCTGGCTCGCGGATATTGGGGTCTCATTGAGAAATATGGAGAGGCATATGGCTCTTCGACATTTACCTCAAAAACGGATGCAGATGCTGACGACGAAGATGGCCGCCATGTATTGGAGAAGCTGGCATTAAAGGGGCTATCATTACTCCGATCATGTCTGCAAATGGTGTTCAGGCCAAAACTGTCGTTCGTGTATCGCAGTGCCGAAATAAAAGAGGCAGAAAATGGACTTATCGATGTCATCAAATTCCAACTTCTCACAGACGAACTGGTCTCTCAGATGGCAAGTGTTATCGTCACGAAGTTCTTCATTTTCCGCCAAGCAGACCTCGAAGCATGGAACGAGGATCCATATGAGTGGGAGATACGAGAAGATGCAGGTGGCGATGGTTGGGAGTTTGAAGTCCGGCCATGCTCGGAAAAGCTCTTCATGGACCTTGTCATCAATTACAAGCATCTCCTCGCGCAGCCGTTACTTAGCTTCTTCCAATCTGTAACAGGAACGGACAATGGGGATATTGTTGCAAAGGACTCTGTTTTTACGGCCATGGGTATCGCGGCACCGGTTCTATCTGATAGTTTCGACTTTGACTCCTTCTTGGCTTCGACACTAGTCAATGATGTTCACAAAACCAGCCCAGAATACAAGGTCTTGCGCCGAAGAATCGCAATACTCATTGGACAATGGGTAACGATCAAAATATCAACAGCAAACAGACCTCTTGTTTACGAGATATTCAAGCACCTACTTAACCCAGCAGACTCTGTCAACGATCAGGTCGTCCGCGTTACTGCTGCACGGCATCTTAAGTCTGCAGTGGATGATTTTAGCTTCGAAACCGAGCCATTTCTGCCATTTGCGGAGGAGTTCCTCCATCGTCTCATGGGGCTTATCCGAGAGCTCAGCCATGCTGAGACCCAACTAGCTGTCCTCGAGACCATCCGTGTCATCTTCATACGCCTCGAATTACAAGCCACGCCATTTGCCGACGAAATTGTCTCTCTACTCCCCGATCTCTGGACTGCATCGGGCGAAGAGCATCTCATGAAACAGGCCATTCTTACCCTTCTCACAAATATCGTCATGGCCACGAAGATGCACTCCGTGCGTTATCACCCTCTTATCGTACCACTGATTCAACGAGCCGTTGAACATGGCTCGGAGATGGCAGTGTACCTCCTTGAAGAGGCGTTAGATCTCTGGTCCAGTATGCTGGAGCAGACACCAGCAGCAGAATCCGGTCCAGTGATACCACTTGTCAACTTCGTTTTCCCTCTTTTGGAAATTGGCAGCGACAGTTTAAGCGTGGTACTCGGAATCTTGGAATCATATGTACTCCTCGCGCCTGAGGTCATGCTTGCTGACACCACTCGTCTTCGGGTCCTCAGCTATATGACCAATGCTCTCGAGATTCCGAAGCGCCATCTCGTCGGTTTGGTGATCAGCATCGTGGAAAACATGATCCGCCGGGCCGAGATCTTAGGTGGCACCAACGGTGTAGTTGCCGTGGCAAAAGACCTCGTCGAGAGTGGTTTCATGGAGAAAATCCTCACCGGGCTCCACGGGGCGTGGGAAGCACACCAAACCACCGGCCCAAATCGCCGCTACCCCAAAATCAGCGACGTTGTTGAAACGGACTACTTCACCATCATCGCCAGGCTTGCGATTACCGACCCTGCGACATTCATAGGCACCATCTCGAGCGTTGGGCCTCTAGAATCGGTGTGGGGGTGGTTGAGCACGGAGTGGTTCTTGCACTTTGATAGCATGGCGAATCCGCACCGGCAGAAGTTGTCGTGTCTAGCGCTGACACGTTTATTGGAGCTGCCACCGCCGATGACGGGGCTGGTGCTGCAGAAGCTTCAGGATTACTTCGCCATGTGGTCGAGCGTGATAGCTGAACTTCTCGATGGCTGGGGAGAGGGTCGGGAGGCCCTCGTATGGTCGGAGGAGACTCCACAAGAGCCAAAGGAGTGGGACAGCATGCAGGATGGTCGAAAAAAGGTTTTGGAGAGAAACGATCCTGTGCATACTATTCACGCGCATCAGTTCACGAAGGAGAGATTGGGGGGGTTGGTGCAGAGTGCTGGTGGTGAAGAGGCATTCCAGAGGGATTGGTTGGTCAACGTTGATGGTGATATAGTGAAGGCGTTTCAAAAGCTAGGACAGACCCAAGTGGAGACGGACTAAGTTGTTATAGCCGAGGAAGGTATCGTGCTGGGAGGCAGGTCAAATATTCGCCGAGAAGATGGCATATGGGTGACGGAGTAGGAGGAATAGCCCTTATGAAGATAAAGTCGATATCGCGTCTGGGGGTCCGAATGCGATATTGGGGTGGATGTCCATAGATGTTCATAGACGATTGCTAACTGATATGAATCACGAAAAATATATACGCAGAGAATCGTATATAACAATGCCTATATTAAGTTTCGAGAGTTACGTTATAAATTTGGGTATTCTTACACTAACGTATCCTCGAAAGAGAGCTACAGTCACTCATCCCTCGTTCCGCATCCTCCACCCCCGAAATCCCCACTGGCGTATTCCCAAAACTCTCCAGCCCCCGATTCCTACTCGTCGCCTCCCTAAACCCATCCCCAACCAACGGGAACGCCATCGGATCCGCCGTGTCAACGGGAGGTAAATTCGAATCACCCCTCAGCGCTGAATATCTCTCCCCCGCCTCTCGCAGCAACCTCTGCACTTCCTGCTCCCGCGCAACAATCTCCGCCTTCTCTCTCACCAGCTCGCCCATCCTCCAGCTGCGCTTCGTGGACTCCTGTTCTGCTTCGTTCAACGATGTCCGCAATCGCGCCAAGCACTCTGATAGACTTGGTATGGGCGTGACCTTTGGTGGAACTATCGCCGCCGCCTGCGTCGCGTCGAGTTTCTTCAGCCCATCCATCCCTGCACGGGTCTGCGCCGCTTCATACTCTGCACGCCGTTCAGCCTCTGAGTCGTCAGACTCTTCGGACGAGCTACCCTCCGCCTCCTGGATCGCCTGAGCAATTATTTTCTTCTGCTGCCTTTGCGCCTTGCGCTGCGCCTTCTTGTCGAGGGAGATTCGGCCATCGTCAACGAAGTCTTCAAACCCCTCCATAACGTCCTCGTCATCTCGAACTAGCCGAGTCTCCTTCTTTCGGCTTGGTAGCAGCGAGATCTGTCCTATTTGACTCCTATCCCCTCCGTCGTCGAGAGATATGAAATCTTGCTCCTGCGCGAGCCTTGCTCTCCGTTGCTTTTTCTCTGCGATCTCAGCTTCGGTGGGGATATACGCCTTATCCTTGTCGCGACGCGATAATAACTCGCCACTGGGTTCTACCACCGTCGCGCCCTCGAGCTCGCTCGCATCCAGCCCCTCTTCCTCAGCATCCTGGGTGGGAAACTTTTGTAAGTCCTTCGGCGTGCTCTTCGTGCTCATCTTCAGCTCCTCTAAGTAATCTTTGCTATAAGTCGGCCGCTCCTCCTCCTCTCCTTCACGCCCCCGCTGGTATGCCGGTAACCTCAGCCGTACATTATTCCCCTCGATGCCTCGTCTCGGAGCCGCTTTCTTGGGCGTAAAAGTCTCATCTTCTTCCAATGCCGCAGCATCATCTCCGGATATTATTTCTCCAGGCCCAAAGGACAGCCGCGAAGCCGCTGGCTTCTTCTTGGTCTGTCCTGCCCGTTTGCCACCTGGTCGTGTTGGCCCAAAGTCAACCTCACGGATTGGCTTGGGTTCACTGCCTCCATCGGTGCCAGAGGTGTCTTGCGACTGTTCGTCATCGAAGGCGATACTGTGGCGCAAGGCTGATTTCTTGAAAGGTTTAGATCGGGCGTGCGAGGTTGTAGTTGGTTTTTCTAGGAGAAGGTGTCAGCTACGTGATTTGGATCAGCAAGAGGACGCAGGGAGAAGACAGGAAGGGCGTACGTTCAGCTGTGGCCTTGGGTTCAACGGATGCTGGTGATGTTGTTGTCTGGTCGTCGTCGTCGTTGACCAGGATTTTGCGCGCCTTGCGCTTTCCACCAAAGGAAGACATGGCGAAAGTAATGTTTCTATAGCGCCAACTGTGTCCCTCGACAGTTACAATTTATGGGGGCGCAATGTTCACGTTGTTGAGACACGGAAGTCCAAGGCTGATAAAAATGGTCGTTCCCAAGGCTACCTCTCACGTCTTTATCGCCACGTGACCTAGAAGACTCTAAATCCACAACCCAGCTCTTGTGCCGCCGCGTCTCAAGGTTCAGCAGCATATACACAACCCCGCCTCTCACAATGCCTCAAGCTCAGCCCGAGCTTAAGAAGGTACGCTCCTATTCTTCAAGTCCCGTCTCTGCAATGAGTTTATCATGCGGCGCATGTGACACGCGACCATGGCTACGGGGAATCACAGTGATGGACTAGGCTAACTGAATATAGTACCTCGACAAGAGGCTCTTCGTCCAGCTCAATGGAAGCCGAAAAGTTATCGGAGTTCTTCGCGGATACGATGTTAGTTAATACACTCTGGTTTCACATGCCCAACGCTTGTGCTGATACTTCGCGTCTAGGTGTTCTTGAATATCGTGCTCGACGACGCAGTTGAGGAGAAGGATGGTGGAGAGAAGGTCAGAATAGGTATGGTGGTATGTCGCAATCTACATGGCAAGAATATTCACGGACAGGAGCTGATCGGTGTTTAGGTTATTCGTGGCAACTCGGTTGTTATGTTGGAGGCACTCGAGAGGATAGGCGGCGATCGCCAGGACCGCGGATGAGCATGCAGTAGGGATGTTGGGATAATATGCAATTTGCTACGGAGGTGCGGCGTGAGCGGTGTCAAAAGGTTCAGACTGGACCTACACATACGGTGGGGTTGGACAGTGACGCATTGGGCGGAGGCGTAAAGGCTGTTAAGCTTATAGGCAACAACATACGAATACCATGGGAAGACATCGCGCCCACCTGCAACTCGCTTTGAATTCTTACGTATAGTGCAGTGACATGGTGAATTGTGGGAGAAAATCGGTTGAGCCGTTGACAGCACACCGACATTTCGAATGAGCTGCAGGTACTGCAATGCTAGAGCACAAGCAGAATAATCGCACCATATTCACAAATGCGGCTTTTTTGACTGCCTGGAAACAGAATTATGTTGAGCAGCATAGCCACAATTACGCGGCCTTCGGGTTCTATTTGGTGTTAACCTGGTCGAGTTGTGTTTATTAATCATTAAATTTGAATACTGCTTCTAATTGTGCGCTACTTTTGAAACATACTCAACCTCCTGACATGCCTTGCGCGTCGCCAACCTCTTTTTGAGTCTGATCAGCTCCATTTAAACAAGCTCAACGACAAGGGCAGATGCTCCGCCACCACCATTGCAGATGCCAACAACGCCAATCTTGCCCTTCTGCTCCTTCAGGACGTGAAGGAGAGTGGTGACGATTCTTGCTCCGGAGCATCCCAATGGGTGTCCAATGGCAACGGATCCACCATTGATGTTAACCTTGGCGGCGTCGAGTCCGAGAATCTTCATGTTGGCAAGGGCGACAACCGAGAAGGCCTCGTTGATCTCATAGGCGTCAACCTGGGATGCATCGATGCCAGCGTGCTTGATGGCCTTTGGAATGGCGAGAGCTGGAGCAGTGGTGAACTTGCTAGGCTTCTGCGCTGCGTCGGCCCAGCCAAGAATCTTTGCCAGGGGCTTAAGTCCCAGCTCCTTAACCTTGGCCTCGCTCATAAGCACAAGTGCGGATGCACCATCGTTGATCGGTGCCGCGTTAGGGGCAGTGATGGTTCCGCCGTTTGGCTGGAAAGCCGGGCGCATGGCCTTCAGCTTCTCGATGTTGAGGTTCTTGACCTCGTCATCCTTGTCAACAACCACGTTTGGCTTCCCACGGCCTCCACTAACCTCCACCGGAACGATCTCGGCCTTGAAGAGTCCCCCCTCAGTGGCCTTCTGTGCCTTCTGATAAGAGTTGATCGCGTACTCGTCTTGCTGCTCGCGAGTAATGGAGTGGTCTTGCGCACACTCCTCTCCTTGCATGCCCATGTGCTCTTGCTTGCCGTATGCATCGGTCAGACCATCCTTCAAGACACCGTCGACAAGGGTCTGGTTTCCGTACTTGGCACCGTTGCGGAGGACTGGGAGGTAGTGAGGAGCGTTTGACATGGATTCGGTACCACCTGCAACAACGATATCGGCGTTTCCAGTCATGATTGTCTGCGCACCGAGAATAATGGCCTTAGTTCCTGAAGCACATACCTTGTTGACGGTGGTGGCAACGGTGGACTCTGAGAGGCCGGCGCCAATGGCGCATTGCCTGGCTGGGTTCTGACCAAGGTTTGCAGACAGAACATTTCCAACGAACACCTCCTCGACATCCTCTGGCTTGATTTCTGGGACACGCTCGACAGCGGCTGTAGTTGCTATTAGCATGGAATATTATAGGAAGGAAAGACTGCATTCGTAGCGTACCCTTGATGGCAAGACTGCCAAGTTGAATTGCGCTCAAGCTCGAAAGAGATCTGTCGATGTGAAGTTATATATAGATTCCTCATGCACACGCGGGCAGAAAAAGGTTGACATTGGAGCTTGAGAACTTACCCCAGGAATGATCCGACGGGAGTCCTGACGGCAGACACAATGTAGACTGGAGGGAATTGAGACATGGTTGCAATATAATATCTTGAAAGTTTACAGATTTGAGGTTGGGAGCGTAGAGTTATGGCGGAGAAGTTGGAGAAAGGGAGAGAGGGTGGGGGGATAAAGGAGGATTTATCAATTGTGGTGAGGGGCAGTGACAGTCGGGGACTCGACCGGAGCGGTTTAGCTCCAGCATTTGGCGGTGTACCACCGTATGGGTTCCTGAAATCTTAGCATCAGCTCACAATCACCAGAAGCCTTAGGTGAGGCGGCCCTTTTTTCGGGACCATTGGAGAGGATTAATCGTATAAAAGGGTCTTAGACTGACCCACACTGTCTTATGTAGCTAATAATGTGGCTAGGAAAGGGCTTCGTAGTATGATATTTTACCGCCACGCCCATACTAGTAGTATTTCCGGAAGGTAATATTCCGACAGCCAATCAGTGTTACTATACGAAGACGCTTCTGACATAATCTGTACAGTCAAACCCCTGTTATAACGATGTATTCTGTCCACCATTTCACTATCGTTATAACCAGTATATCGCTGTAACCAAAGTAGTATGATATTTTACCGCCACGCCCATACTAGTAGTATTTCCGGAAGGTAATATTCCGACAGCCAATCAGTGTTACGTATCTAATGTCCCCTGAACTAATGATGCCTGCTGAATGCCCTCAACTGCTGATTCCAACCGCTCTAGTGTCCGTAAATAATCAGAAGAAAGAGGTTCTTGGCTTTCAGCAAATCTAATTAATATATGAAGAGCTTGTTTAGCATCAGCCATTGAGTATATAGGCTGTGGAAGCTGATTATTGTCTTCTTCATTACTTTGAGTAGTCGGTAAACCTAAATGCTCTCGTAGCACTTCTTGTAAAACCTCATCTTCTCCTACATTCTGCTCATCCTCTCCATCATCATCTTCGTCAACAGGGTTAAGAAAATTTGCAACTGATATAGCGTCTTGTATATTTCCTGCTTCCATAACCTTTTGATATAGCTCTGTAACTTCATGAGGCATAATTGGAGTAGGAAGTGAAATAGGCGAAGAGACAAGTGTTGATTTGCGAAAGCAATTGTAGAATTGTAGTATTTGTAATTTCGTTATTCCAGCTTCGTAAGATCCAACGGATTGCAAGGTGTAGATTCATTGACGATAGAGGATCTACATTTGAGTCGAAGGATTGTAAGATATATTGTAGCCAATGTCGCCGGTAGTAAGCTTTGCAATTCTAAATAATCCCTTGATCAAGAGGCTGGTAGCGACTTGTACTATTAGCAGGTTGCCAACATATTTAAATATTTGATGGAGGAGGACAAAGCTCAATTGCAGTATAATGGGCAGAGAAGTTGTCCACTGTAAGAAGAACTTGTCGTGTTGTGCCAATATGCTGATAAAAAGCTTGAAGCCACTCTGTCATAATCGTTGTATTCATCCAAGCTTTTTTATTCCACCGCCATTGCCCTCCCATTGTATGAACTGATACAAATCTCAAAGCGCGTGGTGTTTTAGCTTTGCCAATAAACCAGACTGGAAATCAATCTGTGCCAGTTGCATTGACTACAAAAGACAAGAGAGATCCGAGACTTGTCTTTCTATAAACCAGCTTGATGTTGTGATGAGAGGCCTCGAGAGAGCATCATCCTCCAATAAAGGCCACTCTCATCCATGTTGTAGATATCCTCCTCTTGATATTCCCCTGCCACAGTTTGTAAGGCTCTCATTTTCTCTTCTGTAGAAGCTGGGATAGATAAGGCTTCTCCGTGTCAAACTTTTAATGATATCTTAAAGCGCTTCTTAAATCCCTCAAGCCATCCAATGCTGAACTCTGGGACTGGCTTGCCAGAGTGTTGTGGAAACTGGCGCCAGATATCTCTTGCCTTTGTTTGCAGAAGCTCTCCAGTTGTAAATCCCCCTCTTGCTTCAATATTGTAATGGTGGGTGCACCAGATATGAGAATCTAGCCACCCAAGGAAGGGATGAATTTACTAAGACAACACACTGTCTTAGGAAACAGAGCCAAAGGGTTGTAGCTTAGACTATTCCACAACGCAGCAATCAGGTGTATGATGTGGTGAAGTGGTTTAGACAAGTTGCAACAAATGTTGAGTTTGAGAACTCAGGGGTAAGTCAGAGGTTAGCACCTCACTGACTTTTCAAAAACAGAGAATAACAAGATCAATGCTTGGAAGCTTGTAAAAGACGTGGAAGTATGTGATAGTCGATTTACTGTATTGCCTGCTTGCCCTTTCTTAAGGAAAGGGCAATCCTATTTATGCCAAAGGAGTGTAGTTCTCTCATTTTCCATGACTTTCCATGACTAACCAGGCTTGGTAAATGTATTAGAAATCAAGTGCGACCCACAACTAGCTTGCTAATCATGTAGTGAACGTAAGAGAATCCCATAGAACCATCTCTTGGGTTCCTAGCCTATAGGAAGTGAAAAGGAGGTCCAAGGTCAGAGTACCTATAGACAAATTATGTCATAACTTAACCAATCTTGTGGGTAACTAAGGAGCGATGATGTGTAATGAATCATAGAGGGTTGTAGAAGCTTCTAGAGCTATCGTTCATGTTCCTAGGCCTCTAGTTGGTAGAGATATGCCATGTGGTAGTATTGGCCCACCCCCTTAAGGAGGAGATTTTCTTAATAACTTGTTCAATGAGTGTCCAAATGATATGCCGTGATGTATGTAGCATAAACAGATGTAGTAGAAGAGTTTGCAGCAATCGTTGAGTAGTATTGCTTCTGTTGTTGGTGTGATAAGCCAAGATATGTATGGTGACTTGTAGGTTTGAGGAGGAGATTTCTAAGTTTGCTCTTGAGTTTGATAGCAAACTGAGTGCAACGAATGTCAGTATGACACACCAACTGTCTCTACAACCCAGCAGATCGCCATCTGCAATGTCAGCAGGGGATGTTCAAGATAACGACTCGTTAGATGGCTCTCTTCCATCCCTTGAAGAGCTGCTCCGCCCTCCTCAAAACAGAGATATCTCTCAGGTGCCACAAAACCACAAGAACAAAAGTTATCACAAGGCAGCATTTAGAAGGACGAATTATATCCATTACGACTGATAATGCGTCAAACAACACTTCGATGATGAGAGATGTGGAAATAATGCTTGATAGTATTGCGGACAATGAGCATTTTATTGGAGGAAAGGTACAACACATACCCTGCCTAGCTCATGTTATTCAACTTGCCCTTAGTGCTCTCCTTGGCCGAATCCGGATTACGCCAACAAATCAAGAGATCTTAATGAACTGGGAAGAAGAGAACCAGATGGAGGGCCTTGCAAAGTTACAAAAAGACAAGGGTATCGGATTTATGTCATACTGACATTCGTTGCACTCAGTTTGCTATCAAACTCAAGAGCAAACTTAGAAATCTCCTCCTCAAACCTACAAGTCACCATACATATCTTGGCTTATCACACCAACAACAGAAGCAATACTACTCAACGATTGCTGCAAACTCTTCTACTACATCTGTTTATGCTACATACATCATGGCATATCATTTGAACACTCATTGAACAAGTTATTAAGAAAATCTCCTCCTT